ATATACCATCACAGAATCACACCCATCAATCATCCACGATAAACACATCCAATCATGGTAATATCTCTTCTATTAACACCACAAATTAGGTCACCAGCCTCAATGACAATAAGAAGACCATACTCAAGCCTGAAAATCACCAGCCATCAATACCCCAAAAAGTCCACTCTTGATTTTTAGCAATCAAGATCTTTGATTTGCAGCCAATAAACATGACAACCAAAACTTTCCTTAAGAGGCTCACCTATTTGCTGTGCCAGCCAAGCTTCTAGCCAATTTGCAATCAATTTCCAAATATAGTTTTCAACCAATTTGCCAAAAATAAACCAATACAAAAATGCACTAACAATCTCCCCCTTTAGCTATTTTTGGCAAAACTAACAAAAAAAAACTTATTACAAGATAAAAGATAAAAAACCAACTAAGGAGGTTAATTGAATTAAGAGTTCTCCCTATTTTTGACAAAATACAGCCAAAGTTAAAAAATAATACTAATAGAAAAACCTTTTAGAAGTTGTTGCTCCCCCTGAGTCCTTTACGAGTCTTACTCCCCCTGAATATAACACTCTCTTAAACTTAATATTATCACCTGTCAAATGCTTGGACCAGCCACCATTACTACACACATAACCATTAGTACATACTTCTAAAGAAGTATAAGTCCTATGCCACCTTAAATTAGATTTCCTTACCCAAACACGTCTAGAAAATTTATTTTGCACATCAATCCTTGCTTTAGGTGTCCTTCTTGAGTTTGCAGAATTTGGTGGGTTTATGAGCATACCTCTCTTCAGAGCATTCAAATACTTATAGCATCTTGGTCTTATATGGCCAGCTAAACCGCAGTAATGACATATGGGAACAAATCTTTTACGTCGAGGGGGTGAAATAATAACCTTCTTACTGAGGGTTGTCCGAGGTTCAGAAGCGGGTGTCTCCTTCACAAATATTGTCTTGGACGTTGAACATTCACCGGTGTAGCCAAGTCCATGACGATCACAACTTGCTTTTCCTATAGAGAGAATATGATCCAATTTGGTGGTGCCGGAATTCATCATCTTTAACTTTTTTTGAGTGCTCTCCATTTCAGCCCTTATGTCCTGCAGCTTTTTGTCATTTTCAGTAGCTTGAAATTCATAGTTAACGGCAGCCCTCTTAAGCACATCCTTCTCTTTAACAAGCTCATCAACTCACTCCCGTAGAGACTTATTCATTTCACACACTTTAACCCATTTGCTGAACATGTTCTTATAGGATTCTTGTATGGCATCAATAGTCAACTCTTCACCATCAGTGTTACTTTCAGAATCTGAAAAATCTCCTCTATTTTCACTGTTCACGGAATCTGTTACAAGTAGTGTTGCAACACTGTTTGCGACACCTTTTGTAACACTGTCTGCAGAAACACTTTGAGCAGTATAAACATTGAAAGCAACATAGTTACTCACATGGTCTTCATCCTCCTGACTGCCTTCAGAGTCTTCATCACTCCATGTTGCATTAAACGACTTCTTCTTCTTCTTGAGGGTGTTGGCACACTCGGATTGAATGTGGCCGTAACCGTCGCATTCCCGGCATTGAATACCCCTATTTTTTGTCTTTATCTTTGTGTTATTTGCTGCAGCTTTATTCTTCTGAAAGTTGCTGGAATTGCCAATTCTTGAATTCTCATTCTTCCTATTGACCTTCTTCGTCACCTTGTTGAATTTCTTCGACAAATTTGTTATGGACTGGGCCAAGTCTTCTTCATCATCATAATCAACTTCGGCTTGAAAGGCAATACTTTTCTCCTTCTTTTCTTCCTTGTTTTCATCCAAATTCATCTCAAAAGTGGGCAAAGAACCCATTAGCTCATCAAGTTTCATTGTTTGGATATCCTTGGCTTACTCAATAGCTGTCACCTTATAAGCAAACCTCCGTAGAAGAGACCTCAAGACCTTCCTCACAAGCTTCTCCTCTAATATTTTCTCTCCAAGAGCAAATGCCTCATTAGCAATATCACACAATTTTGAATTGAAATCAGAAATTGTTTCATCTTCAAGCATGCGTAAGTTTTCAAACCTAGTAGTGAAAATTTGAAGCTTTGATAGTCTCACGGCTGTCGTGCCCTCATGCGCCGTTTGTAGAATTTCCCAAGCCTCCTTAGCCGTCTCACATGTAGAAATGAGCTTGAATTGATTGGCATCCACTCCGTTGAAGATGGCATTAAGAGCTCTTGAATTGCTATTCGCCAATCGATCTTCTTCAGTAGACCATTTCTCTTCGGGTTTCATAGCTTCTTCTCCAGCATCATTTTTGGTAACGGGGTGCGTCCAACCAATCAACACAGCACGCCACGCTTTCTCATCAAGTGCTTTGATGAACGCCTTCATACGAGCTTTTCAATAAGAGTAATTGCAGCCATCGAGGAGAGGAGGGCGTGAAACCGAACCACTTTCTTTCAGAAAATCCATCCCTGTTACAACAGACCAACTCCTAAAATCTCACCAAGCAAACGGTTAGTGAACCTCTCTGATACCAATTGTTAGGTCCGTTTTTCGGTCGGTGTCACAAAGAGTGTTATAACACTTTTCTGTAACACTGTTTTTAACAGTAAATATGAAATTAAACCAGTAAAGCAGCAATGTAGGAAAATAATGCACAAACGTAAAGGACACCCAAAAAATGATATCGCAGTTCGGTGCGCACACCTACTCTGCGGGGTCACGCCCAGACAGTGATCAATCCACTAAGTTCAAAAGATTACAAAGGACCGAACGGTCTTACACACTCAACGACTCCCTCCTTGACGATGTCGCCATTGCCTAGAATCTCCTTAGAAAGCTTGATCAATGAGCACCACTCGACTTGACGGTTTCCTCCCGAAATCAAAGAAATCTTCTCCCGAAGAACCAACTCGAAAGAGTTCTAATAATTCGTTGCAACACATCAAGCGACACTTAACATTACAATCTCATTTTCACATGAACAATCGCCAGTCTTCTGTATTCAGCACATATTCTTCATCTCACGTTCTTCACCGCATCAAAACTCTCATGCCACTATATATACCATCACAGAATCACACCCCTCAATCATCCATGATAAGCACATCCAATCATGGTAATATCTCCTCCATTAACACCACAAATCAGGTCACCAGCCCCAATGACAGTAAGAAGACCATACTCAAGCCTGAAAATCACCAGCCATCAATACCCCAAAAAGTCCACTCTTAATTTTTAGCAATCAAGATCTTTGATTTGCAACCAATAAACATGACAACCAAAATTTTCCTTAAGAGGCTCACCTATTTGCTGTGCTAGCCAAGCTTCCAGCCAATTTGCAACCAATTTGCCAAATATAGTTTTCAACCAATTTGCCAAAAATAAGCCAATACAAAAATGCACTAACAAATCTTAACCAAGGAAGACAAAATTAAACCTCGTGAAAAAATTACTAACATCACTTTTTTTTTCATTCTCTTTATTATTTTTTTATTTATTATTTGACAAATATAGTGTATTAACGTGATATATTATTATATAATGAAATTGATATTTCAAATAATTAATATAAAAAAGTGACAAAAAATAACACAAAGAGTGATACTAATATTTCTCTAAACATCATAAACAACTCAAAAGTTGTTATTAATTTTATCAATGCAAAAACAAAACAGAAAAGGGAATGCAATGCTACTGGAGGATTATCATTTTTTATTTAAATAATAATATATCATGTTAATAGAGTACGTGTGTTGAATGTAAACAGTGTTAAAAAATGATTGAATAAGTGATGCTATTATTTCTCTAATATTTTTTTACTATCTTGAGATGTATTTCTAGCTTTTTTCCCTAACTTTTATTTCTCTCCAAAAGAAAAGAGAAAAATAAGACAAATACTTCTTTATAAGTCTAAATGTTTATTCTTTATTCTTGATTAATATCTTTTTACTCAAACAACTATGGGGCTGTTCGGCAGCTCCTTTATTGAGTCAAAAACTCAAAAAAAGAAACTCGAGTTACAATTTTATTCAAGTTCATGTTCTTTTAAGTTTAAACTCGAGTTTGGGACTGAAACTCGAGTTCAAGTTTCCCTTTCAACTCGAGTTCAGAAACTCGAACTCAAATTAATGAACAATATTTTTTCTATTCTTAAAAATGCTATAACTTTTTTCGTTTTAATTACGATTGAGATGATTTTTTTTCTATGCGTTGACAACGAAAAGACGAATAAAATCCCACCCATATACCCTATTAAAATTTTTCATCAGCATTGAGTTTTTATTAAAATACTATCTAAATACAAATTCAAGTTTTGACTCACTTAAACACAAACTTAAAAAAATATTTTTAAGTTACAACTTCAACTCAAATTATAACTCAAACTCAATTTAAAATCTACACTCAAGTCATCTAACTAAAAAACGTAAAAGAACAGCCCCAGTTAAATGATAGGGAAAAAGAGGAAAATAAGCTAAGACTTGAGATGAATTAAAATTAATAGAACAATAGTTTACATAAATTAATAAATAGGCCAAATTACTGTTTTCGTCCATAACTTGTCTGGTTATGAACCATAACTTGATAAGTTATTCACGGTTTTTGTCTATAACTTATCTGGCTATGAACCATAACTTGACAAGTTTATCCATAACTTATCTGACTATAAATAATAATTTGACAAATTATAGCCTATTAATTTTTATAACTAAAAATTAACTTATATATTTTCTTAAGTTTTTTATATTGACCTATTTTCTACTATTTCCGTAGATGATATTACTAGTAATCTCAGTAATTTTCTCAATAAAATATTGTTTCCGTCATTCTCCTTATTTTCTAGCGGGCTTTAACATTTCTGACCCATATTGCTATTCCATTGGGCCAAAATGGGCTTATGACCTTCTGATCTCCTGCAAAAGTCCATTGTCCATAGTGGGCTTTAACATTTCTGGCCCATATCTCTGTACAAATGCTGGACGTGAGAGAGAGAGAGAGAGAGAGAGAGAGGGGAGAGAGAGAGAGAGAGAGAGATGGCAGGAGCGTTCTGGGGAACTCGAGTGATGGAAATAGTGAAGAAGCATGATTCCGGAGGTCTGGTCTGGAAGAGAATAAAGCTCACCTCCACTCGTAAGGCCAACGCCAAGAAGCGTCTTCTCCGTGTTTGGCAGGTCTCTCTCTCTCTTCGTATTATTTTCATGATTTAGGGTTTTACTTTAGGGTTTTAGGTTCGTAAAATCTTTTGAGTTTGCTCATCTTTTCTGTTTATTTTCTGATTATATCTAGGGACTTTAGTAATTTCGCATGCTGAACTTTTTCTTTCCCCTTAATCTTTGTTGGTTCTTGTAGATTTGATTTTCATTATCTTTGAAGTACTGGAGATATCAATAGGAAAAGACTTTTGTGCTTATCTTGGCTAACCACTATTTCACGATATAATTACAATGGCAAATGCTTTGCTTTGTACTAACTGGTAAGATCATCACAAAGTTTTAAGCTTTGGAATTGTAAAAGGCAGAACTTGTAATTTTCCCAAAAAAAAAAAAAAAAGAAATTTTATAATGTAATAACTATTGACTATTGAGTGGAAAGTCAATATTACCATTAGGCAACCAAATACCAAAATTTCGTAAATGCTATATTTGATACTAAATTTGACAACAAATCATATAGCATCAAATGCATATGTAAAATTTAACATTAAATATAGTATCGAGGTTATGGCACGGGGACATCTGACCATATATAAGAAAGTTGGATTAGATATATGCTTTTTATTGCGTGTCATTACACTAAATTATTAGTTTAATTAAGCATTCGTGCTTTGCACAGGAATGTCACTGTAAAAATTTTGATTGGGTTAACATGTTTTATGTATCACGTCTTCTGGTTCATGGTTGTGGGAAGAGCACTTGTACAAGCTGAAAGAGTTCCGATAAAAAGCATATAAAGTCTGAAATGATATTGGTGAAACTATTCAGAAAATATCTGCCATTTTGTAGATGCTCTAATTGACAATCGCAAATCATTTATTGAGTGTCCTGTTAGGAACCCGGATATCTTTACCTTCATTAACAAGACTTAAAATGGAATTACATGATAAAATGAGTGGTTTTGAGGACCCCTCAACTTCTAAGGCAGTGCACAATACCAAAACACTTTTTACAATTCAGACATAATTCCCCCTCAGCCACTAAACCCCCTATTTATACAGCTAGAAGACTACTCTATTAGGTTCCTAAAATATGTTTAAGACTTGGAAATCTTAATTTCATTCACAAGACTAAAAATGAAAATTACGGGATAGAATGGGTGGTTATGTTAAGAGACCTGATAGCTAGTTAGTGATTAGTGGTCTTTTTATAGTATAAATAAGAGGTTAAGTGGCTAATGACGGCTCATGTTTGAATTGTGAAAAGTGTTTAGGTGTTGTGCGCCGCCTTGGAGGTTGGGGGTCTTCGAAAGCACCCATTCTATCCTATAGGGCGTGTTTGGAACTCGTTCCAAAATAATTTTATTTTTTGTATGAAAATGAAAATGAGAATGTTTTCAATCTTAGGCAGAAATCATTTTTGAAAATGCGTTTGGTAGTTTATCAAGAGATTGTTTTCAGTATAAAAAAACTCATTAATGTCTCTTTCTCTCTGCTCGAGAGGAGAAAACGAAAATAAAAAATGAAAAATGACTAAAAGTCGTTTCTCATTTCTCTCTCATTTACACTAAACTAAAAAATCATTTTCATTTCTCTCTCATTTTACACTAAACCAAAAAATCATTTTCATTTCCGTTTTTTGTCTTTATTGCACCAAACGCTGTTTTGAAAAAGTTTTCATTTTTTCTTTCTCAAAAAACGTGAAAAACAAAAATGAGATCAATTCTAAATACGACCATAATTTTCTATTTTCAATCTTGTTAATGAAGAGATTTCCGGGTTCCTGACATGTTCTCATTTAAATATCATGGCCTATTTTAAGTTTTTTTCTTTCTTTTAAACTGCCTATTATAAGCTATAGCAAAGAACAAGAGCTTGATTGTTTTCTAGTCCTTGGAAGTTGGGACTTACCATTACCATCTATAATAATCCCAATTCAGAGGTAGGAAGAATGATAATTACTTGGCCTTTGAATGTTACTAGTTATGTTTCACAATTTATCATAATAAGATCTGGCATGACATTGTTATGTCATACACCTTCTCATTATAAGGTGTATTTAGACCTCATTCAATTCGCTGATTCAAGTTTTCAATTTGAGCTGATATGTGATTTTGGCTTAGTTTGGTATTGCTTTTCACTCCTAAAATCAGTTTCTGCTTGTAACAAAAGCTAATTTTGGTGTTTGGTAAATCTTCTCAAAATTGTTTTTTGAAGAATTTTTAAAGAACCTACAGTTAAAATCAGAAACAGCTCAAATGCAACTTTAACTTTTAGATTGTGCGGGAAACAACATAGTACAATTAGTGAAACTTTCATAATACTCATACTACTCCTAATGAAATTTAAAATTTACAATCTTCCCAATCTAAAATTCAAACTCGTAATATAATATAATATAATACAATACTACAATAATATAATATAATAGTAATATTGTAACAAATAATATCATAATTATATTAATAACTCTAATATTATTATTTTATCATATAATATGATATTATAATAATATTATAATTATTTTA